CAGTGCTCAAAGAGGGCAAGTGACTTAGCCCTGAACATCCAGAGACAGAGTTAAAATTCAAAGTAGAGTCTTTTGGCTTTCAAGTTTTCCTGCTAGATACAAAAAAAAAAAAAAAAAAAAATGGTTGCCAGAAGAGTTTTAAGGAATTTGACAAATGATCGGCTTCTGAGACTCACATAGTGAGCTGGGACTAAAAACCAGGTTTTCCGATTCCCAGGCCAGGTTCTTTCGCCACATTACAGCATTGCCACCCAGAGCGCTGGGTTTTCCCAAGAGGTGTTTGGATGGGCTTCCAAACCAGTGAGATGCAAATAGGTCTGACCCACATTCCAGCTCTTGGATAAATAAAAACTCCTAAAGGGCAGAGCCCATTTTGTGTGCTTAATTTGAAAGTCCCACGGTGGACAGTCAATCAATATTAAACAACTATAGGTGCATTTGCCAAGGACTAATAGCATAGGCTCAATTTTAGCAATTAGAATACTGGGAATATTACTGAGGAACCTCATAAAGGTGCTGAAAGTTTGGATCACGTAGTCATACATTTTTAAAAGTTTAAAAAAAAAAACTTTGAAGTCGTCTAGTCCAACTCTAATTTTATAAATGAAATCCTGAGAAGTTAAAATAATATGCATAAGGATCTGACGCCAGGCGACAACAGACCCTCTCCTGTCTCCCAGTTCCATTTAACTTTATGTCATATGGCATTGTGAGAGAAGGTTTCCAAGAATGTACCATGTTGTAAGCTGAAGTTGGATTGGCTGGTTATAGAGTCATCATTGATTATGAAATGTCTCTCAGATTTAACTTTCCTTATCCCACTGACCAAGTGAGCTCTAAGAAATCTCCATTGCTGGCTTCCAGTTCAACGAAGTTGCTATCATTTCTCAATTTGTGTCTTGTTAATTTTGGCCTTCTGAACTTTTCTCATGACATTTCCCCCAATCTGCTAGCCCTCCAAGCTGTCTACCATTCTCTATAGTTCATCTCCTCCAAGAAGACTTCTCTGATTACTCTTCTTCCCATCAATGTTAATTATGTTCCTTTGCTTTGCATGATACCTATGTTCAATTTGTTCCTTCCTATCGGTAGAAAAGATTTGCTTATTGCCTGGATGTTTCTTATATCCTCAAAGGACAAGATTAATTGTTTCTATCTGTTTTTATTTTTTATGGTGCGAAGACAATACCATGCTCCAATAAGCACCAAATATTTGTTAAAGGCACAAATCATGTTAATTAACCTTACTACAAAAGAGAGACTTCATTCTTGGTAAAAAATGAAATTAAAATAACTTATTTTGCTAGGTTATTTTTATTTCTCAAAGACTAATGAATCACATGCACATGAGTTTGGTAGTCTATCAAAAAATTAGTTCAGGGGTTGATACTCTATCAAAACATTCATCCAGTGGTTCTCAATCCTGGCTGCTCATTCAAATCAACCGGGAAGCTTTTAAAACTACCAATACCCAAGCCTCACCACAGATCAACTGAATCAGAATCTTTGCAGGTATGCCCAAGCAATAATTTGCAATATCATGTTGATATTTGATTTGTACATATTGATTTGTACAACCTCACTCCCATTAATAGATTTTTCTAAAGAGTGAGCATGTTCAAATATGGTTTTGTAGTTATTCTTAGAATCACAAAATTTTAGAACTGAGAGAGAACTAAGATAATATCTGAATCAATCCCTTTATTTCATGGCTGAGGACACTGTGGTTTAAGAGAGATTGAGAGAGTAGCCTCACCCAGTGGTGTGGTGGTTATTGAGTGACAGGTAGTAGCTGAGTTGGTGGAATTCTCTGAACTCCAGCTCTGGAGCTGTAGAAACGAGACCAAGCTTTTAGTTTTTAAATTTCTGCTTTCTTCTAAAGAAAATGTATAAAAATTATTGCATGTGAAAATTTGGATTTTAAAAGCACCAGGTGCTCCTTAAAGATCTTCAGTTTGGCACGTTCCAACTAGCCCATTGCCGTGGCAGAGGAAATGCCACAGCAGGATATATCAAAGTCCAAAATAAATGACTAGCATCTATTTGCAGGCTTTTTCATTGGCCCTGACATGTAAGTCCATAACATTTTATGTTATCAGAGCCCAGAGCACTTCTGGCCCTTAACTATACCACTTAGTAGCAGACTTATTACATATGAGCAAGCTAATCAGCACCCTGAACTTCCCTTTTCTCTATAAAAAGGAAGACAGTGCCTGTCCTATTGACCTTGCATTTTTCAGCTATTATAAGGATTAAATCAGATGATCTATGTGGGGATACTTTCAGAATAGTAAAGCACTATCTATCTATCTATATATATGTACAGAATTATTATATTACTATCTCTAAAAGCAATGACTTGTGAATAAATATTTATTGATTACTCAGGCTCTAAATCCTAATTCCCTGGTACCAAGAATAAACAGGAATTGGAGTTAGTGCTGGACTAGAAACCCTAGTCACTGAAAGTATCACATAACTAAATATTGAGGGAGGTAAAGTGATGTAGTGACCCAAGATTTAGCTAGTCTAGGCTCTAGTCCCAGAGTCTGCTTTTTAACTATTGACTTTGGATACGTCACTTAATTTTTCTGGGACCAGAGTCTCGTCAGTGGTCAAAGGATGACTTGAATTAGAGTCAAAGATCCTTTTGATTTATAAAATCAGAATATTAGTGCTTAATTAAAATTACTAAAGTGCAATTTCCCAAGCCATTAATTCATGTGGTTTCACATTTTTTAAATCTCTTTTTAGAAGTACAGGGTTGGAGCCTAAAAGCATAAGCCTATTACTGGTAAACAGACATTTCAAACACATGTGGAAGACCTTCTTTAAAAGAAACGTCTCCACTCAGATACTTTATGCTTATTGGTATTCTGTCCAGGAGCCCTGGCTCCAACAATAAACATATCGTTACCCAAAAAGCACATAATACAGTACTGGACACAGAGTAAGGCATCCAAATACTGTTATATTACAGCTCTCAGTTTGAGTCCCAGTTGGTGTTAATTAACTCATCTGAACCTGTTTTCTTATCTATAAATGGGAACAATGCTTTCCTCAATGATCCACTGAGATAGTGTATATCAAAATGTTTTGTGAACATATTAAAAGCAATTGCAAGATATTACTATTACCTAAGGAATGTAGCTTACTATACCATGACCTTTCTAAGAAGTGTGCTTTTTCAAGAGATAGATTAGTATCTTTCTGACTTAATTTATTATGGACAGAGCATGTACCCCAATGCCTGGCTCAACAAATATGTTCATATGTTCAATAAATGTTTGCTGCATGAAAAGCACAATCCACAGAAAGACCAAAAGCTCTACAAGGTCAGATTCCATATTTGTTTTTATCTCCAAATTCCCAGAGCCTAGCACAGTATCTGACACATAGTGGAAACCTAATAATTATTAGATGAATCCATTTTTGCCCCCTCTAGTTCCTCTTCAGCACAGTTCAAGAGGGAGAGGCCAGCAGGGAAGGCATCAAAGATGATTTGTGGTAAAGGATGCTTGGAATGGAAAACTGGAAATTACTTGGAGAATTTACCCACCCTCTAACAAATAGCTTGGGAGAGCAGAAAGAGCATAGGCTCTGAGTTCAAATTCAGTTTCCAAATTCTGCAATCTTGATAAATGAATCTATTAACCTCTCCAAGACTCAGTTTCCTCCTCTTAAAATGAGAATAGTGCCTCCCTAACTGGGTCATGCACCAGAACGGAAGCTCCATAAGGGCAGGGACTTATTTGGGGCCCATTGTATCTACGCTGAACAGTACTGAACTGCATTCAGCAGTGCCTGGCACGGCATAGGTTTCCAAATATTTGTAGACTGAATTTGTGAGAAACTGAGATAACACACGTAAAGTATGTAACAGAATGCATGCACGTGGTAAACACCTAGGAAACGCGAGCCTCCACCCTCGTCACTACTATTACTTGTATATCAGTATTATTACATTACTGGCAGTCGTGGAGCAGCCCCCTTTGAGGAAAGACCCGGATTCAAATCTCGAATTCCTCATTTACTAGCTACGTGGCTTAAGACAAATTACTTAACCTATTCGAGTTCCTTTGGTTCCACAAAAATCTGTGTCGTGAGAATCTATATGGAAACCCCCTAACGCTGAGTCTGGAGCCCCCGCGGCACGCGATCCAGGGCAGCGATTATTATTAAGGCACAAAGTCGCCGAGTCCCCTTTTATCTAGATAACTGCCTGCAAGTTCCCACACTACTGTGGCTGGATACACAGCATGACCGCAAACAAGGGAGGAAGGAAAGAATTTCAAAGACACCGAAACCGCTAAACGAGAAAAGAGAGAATTAAACCGATGCTTGGCAGTTCCCACCAAGGGGTGCCAGTTTCCGCGACTGTCAACCAGTCCAACCAGCCAAGGCTCCAGCAGGACCGTCAGCTCCGTAAGGAACAAAAAAAGAGGCAGAGCCCATGCTTGGACCCTCCCCTTAACGGTCTCTTGGCCGCTGTCCTCCGGCAGCCGCCGGACTCCGGTTTCCGGCCTTCGGAGGACCACAGTTCCCAGCATGCCTTTGGCGGGAAGTCTTTCCCGCGGGATGACTACTAATCCCGGCATGCCACACGGCACTCCAATAAATTAGATGGAAGCGTGGAATGACCCCATTGCACGCAGGGAATTGTAGTCCACATAGCTGCTGGCTCTTAGAGGGGCGGGGAAGAGTCGGGTCGCTCTCGTCAGCTGAGGAGAATGATTCATAGAGGAGGGTCAGGAGAGAAGAACAATTCTGTCTGTGAAAGCCCACTTAATAGGCTGGACTCTTCGCGGAGGGAGGGAGAGGCAGGAGAGCAAGCAGGACTTCTGGCCTGACTCCGCCTCAGGTCGCTCGCCAGGCCTCTCTCGAGTCCTGGGCCTTGTCGGGGGCGGCCGCGAGGCGCCGGTTGCTGGGGGACCGGTGACGTAGCGGGGTGAAAGTTGAGGGGCGGTGACGTCGGGCCTGCCCGGGCGGAGGCTGGCGGGTTGGAGGCAGGAGGGAGGGAGGGAAGGAGGGAAGGAAGGAAGCTGGGAAGGAGCGAGCGAGCGGGGGCGCGAGGCGTTTACCTGGAGGCAGCGGCTTGGGCGCGCAGAGCGGCCGCGGCTCCCCCGCACCTGCGGCCATGGATGAGGAGCGCGCCCTCTACATCGTCCGGGCCGGCGAGGCAGGGGCTATCGAGCGGGTCCTGAGGGATTACAGCGATAAGGTAAAGAGCCCTGGCCCCCGGCGTGCGGTAGAGCACCCCCCGGGCCGCCCTCCGGGCTTGCACATCGCATCCCTCCCAACCCCCTTCATTCCGGGGATGCGCACTGCTCTCCCCCGAAAACGTTTCCGGCTCGGGCATGCGTGTTTGTGCCCCCAGCCTTTCCCATCCCTGCATCCTGCATCCCCCCGCCCCCACTCTGGCGCCCACTCCTCCGATTCCGGCCCAGCAGCCTGTCCTACGGTCCTCCTCCCAAGCGTGCAAGTCACACCCCCGGAATCCCTAGATGTGCCCCTGCGTCGTGTGCCCCGCTCTTGGATGCATAAATGCACGCGAAGCTTCCTCACCTGTGTAGCATAAAAATCTGTGTTTCTGTGCGTAAACACGGCCCTTGACATGCATAAAACGTATCAGCCACGATGGCAGTTCTTTATATACCTACAGCACTGTACCGTTTTCAAGGCGTGATGTCTCATATATGCTCTAACTTGATTCTCAGAGTGTTTATAGGGTAGATGGTATCATTCTCCCCATTTAATAGATGAGAAAACCGAGGCGCTAAGAACTGAAATCATGCCAAGGTCATGGACATGCTATGTTGTAAGTGGTGGGGGGGGGGGAGACTAATTCCTAGTAATGCCTGTTATTTATATCTCATTAACAGCTTTCCCGTCTCGTTTAATCTTGACAGCGATCCTGGGAGGTTTTATCTGCGTTTTGCGATTGAGATTCTAGATCGGTTAAGTAACTTGCCCAAGGTCATACTTCTGAGCTGGAGTTCCATCCTAGGTCTTAAAACCATTCATTGCTCTTTCCGCTTTATAACTGCAGTAAAAAGGTATCTTGTTGTAAATCCTGGTTACTTCTCTGAGTGTCTCTTTAAGAACCGTTAGCTCTCCATTACTTTTCCTTCCAGGAATTTTACATGCTCACTTCAAAAGGTAGCATACCACACCTTTATTCTTCCATTTGGAAGACTACTTTATGGGAATGACCGACTACTCTCTCCTGTGAAAACACACCCAACTCCCAAGTCACACCCTAGATACAACATCTGTCTTCCTTTCACTTGCCTCCATTCATAATTTCCCCTTCTGTGTTTGCTACAAGCCCACCACTGTACTTTCATACACTTTGCATTATTGAGCTTCCAGGATGCCATTTCTGCCCTGGGTGGAGAAGTTTCCAAAATAAGACGCTTTCATTCCCCTTTAATCTTCCCAAAAACCCTGTGAGGAAAATGGTGCTATGCCCCACTTCACAAATCATAAAACTTAGGATAATGTTGCCCCAAGTTCACAAAGCCATTGAGAGATGGGGCTGAGATCTGAATCTAGGTTGTCTGACTGTTCTTTCTACAGCACTGTGCTGCTTTCTTTGGGAGGATGCATGGATTCAATTCTACTATTGTCTCAGCTCCTTCTCTTTCTGATATGCTTTACTGTTGTGTATTTGCCTAATTTAGGAGAAGTTTAATGCATAGGTATACATATTGTGGAGATTATATTCATTTAACTTAATTTATAACTACTTTCCAAAAAGATTTGAGAAAGCCAGAAACTGATTTTCAAAAGAAACACAACAGAAAACTTACCCATTGTGCTGAATCAACTAGTATGTATTTAGCACTTTATCTGGATATGCCAGATATCCAGCAATAAATAGGAACTTTCTTCTCTAGGGAGGGAAAACCTCTAACTGGATCTTGTCACCTTCTTCAGTATTTCTCCTTCCCTTCATAGCTAAACTAATTAGAACTCCAGATTTGCTTCCTCCAATTTATCTCTTCCTCTCCTTGATCTCCCTCCAGGTTGGTTTCCACTTACCACTCCTGGCCAAGTGCTGTCAAAGCTTCAGTTCTGGACATCTCCAGCTCCCCTTCACATTGGGAATGTTTTTAAAGTTATAATGCCCGAAGTATGTTGTTTAAGGTGGTTCCTGAAGTGTTTGGGAATCCTCCCAAACTCTTGCACTTTTTTGGCCAAGTGTGAGAATGCTGTGACTTAATGCGAACTTGGTCAGTCAGCTCCTTCCGAGAAGAGCTCTCGTATTTAATGCTGGTTATAGCAGGGCCAGAGTACAAAGAAAATAGCTGAATTTCCTGTTGGCAGTGGGGCTTTGCCCCTCAAGGCGAGAGATCTTGGAGGTAGATTAATAGGAAGAAGAAGTATGATGGCAGTGGTCTGGCAATAAGAATGGGGAGGTGAAATTAAATTGCCCAGCTCTATGGGATGTGGAGTCTGAAACCTTGAAAAAGTAGCTAGATACCCTGGCTTCATTTTCCTTATTTGGAAAAATGGATTTGAGACATGTTTAGAATAAGAGGTGATTATGGGGCATTGAGGAGTCTAACCAAGAAGGGAAATGAATGATGTAGAGAGAGAATGATCGGTTCATTGTTTGGGGAAGGACGTTCTTTATGCTCCCTTTATTTCTCTAATAAAGCCATTCCTCAAAAGGAGGCAGTCAAGTACAGTGGAAAGAAGGTGGAATTCGGAGTCAGATAAACCTTGGTTAAAATCTGCTATTTATTAACTTCATGACTATGGATAAATTATTTTAAGCCTGAGTCTCAGTTTCCTTGTCTGTAAAATAGGGATAATATCACCTAAGTTTTTATTAGGCTTAAATTAACTGAAATATAATGCCGCACACTGAGCACAATGCACCTAAGAGGCATTTACTCAGTTGAGTTCTGGTTCGAACGATGAAGGTACTCAAAAGGTCCTGTGGCCAGAGCAAGGCTCTGGAGCCAGACTGCCCAGCCTTTGATCCTTAACTTACCATCCGTGTGGCCTAGGGCAAGTTACTTAAATTCACTGTGCCTCAGTTTCCTCATCTGCCAAACAAGGATAATAATAGTACCCACATCCTAGATTTGTTGTCAGGATTAAATAAGTTATATGTGTAAAGCATTTAGAACAGTTCCTGGCACTGAGGAAGAACCCATAACTGTTAGTTTTGAACAAAAAAGGCAGTTACTAAACATGACACTGAGTTGACATAGCCTGATAAAAAACTTGGAGAATACGCACCATTCTTTCTCTTTTTTCTTGACCCTTGCACTTTCTAATCAGTAGCCAAATACCTTGTACCAAGTTTGGAGCAACTGTTACCTGTCTAGCTCCAGGTAACATTTAATTTCTACTTTGTTACAGAGACTCTCATTTCCAAGCCTTCTTGCTTCATTCACTGACCCTTGTTATCTTGAGGAGAAGGAAGACCTATTTATCCCAGAAAAAACAAAACTTGTCTGTTTCTCAAGGGCATAATGCAAGTTGACTCAGCATAGGAAAGTATTAAAAAAAAAAAAATAGGAAGAGTGTAATTCTTTTTCACTCCTCTCAATTTACCTAACGTTTATTGAGTGCCTGCTATGTACTATCTGTTGTCCTGAATGGTTTCACGTCATCATATATGATCTTCTTATGTTAAAAGTTATGATGAAGATGGAAGTATTCTTTTTTTTGAGGGAATAGGAAATTGGGGTTCAGAAAGATAAAGTGACTATCTATGGGCTCAAGGGCACATAGCTAGAAATGGCAAGCCTCATCTTCAGATTCCATATCCAGGGCTCTTTTTGCAAGGCCATGTTGCCTTTTCTTTGTCTATTCTGTGTTTTTGAGCACGGAAGAGAAAGGCTTTTCAGGACCGGTTCTTTTGGCTGGTCTACTGGGGCCCTAATCACCCTCACTCCAGTAATAGAATGAGCTATTAATTATGGAAAATATGTATTGTTCTAGTCTAGGCTGTACAATCTCCTTCTCTTCCTTCAGGGCCTGTTCTGATAACAGATTTAGTAGAGAGATTGGTTGCCTTCATCATGATCATCAACAATAAACAGTGATCAAGGGCTCCGAGGTGCACAGGTAGTATCTTAGTTCCTTGAATCACAGGATATTTAGACTAGAAGGAACCTCAAAGATAATTGGGTCCAATCCTCTCAGTTAATAGGTGCAGAAACTGAGGCCTAGTGTCGTCAGCTATGATAACCAGAGAGGTGGCTTGGTGGTCATAGAGGCCACCTGGGCATATGATTACCCCATAGCAAGCTCCAACAGGATTCCCTTTTGGAAGTGTGTCGTGTTTATGGCCATATGAAAGGTAAAAGTTAGTTAAGATACAGGCAGGTAGGTAGGTCTCCAAGGGTAGTCATCATAAGAGAGAAAAACCACACTGTTAGCAGTGAGGTCTTCATTTATGTGCTGCTAGAAGGACCTGATTGATAGGGACCTGATACTGGGACAGTTCTGGAAATACAGCCTCCGTATTTGAATAGGGTATGTAAATATCCCGGACCATGTAAGAGGACTTTTTCCTTTCCACTTTGAGGTTGAGTTCTGACTCTGAGTTCATTCCACAGATTTTTCAGAGGAGCATGTTTAGTGAACTGTTCCTTTGTTATACCTTTTACTAATTTCCAGATTGGGTTATATAATCTCAGATACTGGCTTTTAGTTCTAGAAGTGATCTCTATTTATGAGACATAGCCCAACACACAGACACAGATCACTGTAGTTAGGTTAATTCCTTTGTATTGGTACTGTTTGAGTATATCTTTAGAAATTGATGAAATAACTCCTAGTTCTCTAGTAGGTCAGTATTTGGCCAGATGCTACATCATAGGCCATGCAGTAATAACAACAGTGGCCACTTCTTGAACACCTGCAATGTGCAGGGTGCTAAACATAAAGATAAGGAAACTCTGACAGGTAGGTCAGTTGAGTAACTTAACCAAGGTCACATTTTTAGTAAGCAGCGGGACTGGACTCAAACCTTATGTTGTCTGACTCCTGAGCCTGAGCTTTTTAGAGTCTATTCATAAGATACAGAAACATAGGATACAGGAGGGAATCTTCATAATGAGTCTGGTGTGTCACTGAGCTGTGGTCTCTAAATTGAACAGTGGTTTTACTCTTTATTTTATATTTGATTTGTTGCTCCTGTTCATCTGGAAATAAGCAATTAAAAAAAGTGAGATGGTTGACTGTTGGTTAGCAGTTCTAGAAAGATATTTATAGCCAGAAATGCTAGTTCCCCTTCCCCTCCCTATCAGCCTTAGAAAGGGGAGAGAATTAAGGGTTAAAGTAACTGAATAGGTTAGGTATGATCTAAGTTGGATACAAGAAGCCAGCCTTAGAGAAGCCAGCATCTTTGGATGCAAACAGTCTTAGAGGGCTGAGCTTCTGAATAGATTGGCACATTCAAAATTCAGTTTGTATTCCCTCACATACCAGTATATGTCCTAATTAAATTAGGCCCTCATGCTAGTTAGATGGAGCTTTTGACAGCTTTTCTTGCTTGCTTGCTTGTTTTTTTTTATGTTGTGGTTTTCTGACAGCATCAGCCTTGCATTTAAAAAGCAGAAAAATTATTCCTTGGTACTATTCTAAATTAGCACTTTAAAAGGTTAATTCTCCATAGAAACAGTTTAAAAGGTATTTTTATAACTTAATGAGGGTCTCTTCAAAAGATGATTTCTTTTTCTGCTCCCTTACCATAAATGCCAAAAAAAGTTTAGGAGAACTGTTATATCGGCAACTAGGTACATTTATTCCAGATAATTTATGGAATTAATATTTCACATATAATGGCAAAAAATAAGCTTTCTTGGTTTCTAAGTGCAGTTATTCATTTTCATTCGTATGGGGCCTTTACTAAGCCTCAGTTTACAACCTTAGCCTGGTGTCTGGTTCTTCTTTATCTTTTATCTAGGGTTTTTACTAAACCTCAGGTCTATAAATTCCTAAGTTATAACCTTCAGATTTACAACTTTTTTCTTCCTTCCTTTTCTTCTTTCTTTCTTTCCTTGTTCATTCATTTATATTTTATTTTTAAACTTTCCCTATTAATTATAAAAATAATATACTAACAATGAATTTTATCAAAGATCACCAGAAATTCCACCACTCTGTGCAATTGCTTTTATTTTTGCGTTGTAACACTCGAGCCTTTGTTCGAATGCATCCCTACATTTATATAGGTATTGTCATCAAAGACGTATAATTTGAAGTTTTACTATTTTTCCACTTGATGCCATCATAAGTAATTTTCCATGTAGTTACAGAGCTATTTAGTCATCTTTTTTAAAAATTGCAATATAAATAGTCTATCAGGTGGATATACAGCAATTTATTTCATCAGTCTCCTGTTGTTGGATATTCAGGTTGTCTCTGTTTTTCTCCCATAATGTTAGATAACACTGCAGTGAATATGCTTACATGTACAATTTTTCTCTCCTTCTGGATGATTTCATTAGGATAAATTCCTGGGAGTAGAAATTCTGGGTCAAAGCGGATGTATATTTTCATGGTTTTTAATATGTAATGCCAAATCACTTTCCCTTTTAAAAGTTTGTGTCAATTTATACTGCTGCCAGCAATATCATGCCTGGATTATTGATGCCTGTTTCTCAGAGGGCTTAAGGTCCTCAGTCTTGCTCTCCTTGGATCTGGCCTGTAAACTACTGCTCAAAATATTCTTCCAGAATGCTCTCCTCTTCACACCTCCCTGAGAGTCTTCCCCTGGTTCTTGTCACCTATCTGCCGGTTCAGGTATAAATTTTTAAATCCAGGCCCTTACCACCTGACATCATCCATTTTAATTTTTTTTACAAGCCATATGTGAGGCAGCCTCTCCTAGGTTTCCTCAAATGACCCTTCTGTCTGACCTCTAAGTCTTCCCTCTGACCATCTCTTACATTCAGAACTACTTCTCGGTCAACATTTCTCCATCTCATTTTATTTCAAAAATTGCTTCTTCTACCAAGCTGTCAATGCAGAACCACCTGTAATGATGATAGCTTTAGAACTTAGTGTACTTAACTTGCCAATAAATGTTTGTCAGTGTAGCCATGAGAGAAATACAAAGGAAAGGCAGAGACATGTTCAGTGGAGACTTTTTTAAAGGAAAGCTTAGGATTCATAAGAGAACTTGGTTCTCCTGAATAAAACTTGAGAAGAGAGTGAGGAATTGTGTGCTCTATTTTGGGGGTACCTTTGCTCTCTCTATGACAGTGGGTAAGTCAACTTACTGCATCCTCTATTTCAGCTACAGAGTGGAAAACATAGGGTTGCTAATCATTTCAGGAGAGTCATGACACTGTCTTCTCTTCCAGTTATTTTTTCCTTAATATCATTGGTATCATCATCATTATAACCCTATTAGTTACTGAGTGTTTACTATTTGCCAGGCACTGAGATGGTGCGTTATATGCCTTAGCTGTTTTAACCCTCACAGCAGCTCTAAGTAGGTGCCTTCTCTTTTCCCATGAGAAATCCAGTTATAAAGAGTTTGTTACTTGCTCAACTAGTAAGTGGAGAAGCCATGATTTAAACCCTCTTTCTTACAGAATTACTTTTCTGAAATACCAATCTATCACCTCTCTTCCCTATCTACAATTCTCTGATGATTTCTTTATTGCATATGAAAAAGAAAATACAAACTCCTCAGCAACATTGGAAGACCCTTCCGAATCTCTCTCCAGTCTCATCTTTCTCCACTCCCCTTATCCCCTAACATGTGTCCTATGTTTTACTCTGACAGAGCTCCTTATTTCACAAATGTCTCATACCGTTTCACACATACGAGCCTTTGATTCTGTCCCTAGAATGCTTTCCATTTTGCCTCCTGGCAAACTCCTATTCATCCCTCAAGGTCCAGCTCAGATGCTCTATATTCTATGCACAGTGTTCTAGATTTCCCTGGGCAGAGTTAGTGGCTTGGTACTCTGCTCCTTTGTGTATATTTCTGCTGTAGTCTTTTCACAGTGCTTTATAATTATTTGCTTATATGCCTCTCTCTCTTACTTTAATAAGAATACTGAGATGTGATCTGGGAAAGCAGCGTTTTTACTGAGACATTTTGTGTATTTAAACATAGTCAAAATTAAAAATCTATGTGTTTAAAATGACATTATTTCCCTTTTTTTCCCCTTCAGCATAGGGCTACTTTCAAATTTGAATCAACAGATGAAGATAAAAGAAAGGTAAGCCTTGGTATGTGTATGTGTGAGCATCTGTGTGTGTGTATTTCTTTGATGGACTTTCTAAACAGTGGGCTTGTTTTCATCTGAAGATTGTTAAGTTTTCAGTTTCCCTTTAGTTTGTTTTTTAAGAATTCTGAGGAGAGAGACAAGTGCCAGGTTTAGTATGGATTACACACACCTCCCTCCTGTTCTGTCTTCACAGGACCATTACACTTGTATAAATCAAGGGAATGGGAAGGGTTCAGAGAGGACTGTCTCTCCATATCTTCTCACTTCCAGAGGTTGACTTTGTTTGGTGGCAGGACTGCAGGCTGCCCAAAATGTATTGCTAATATTGTAAAGCTTGGCTTTAAAATAACGCTTGGCTTTGGGTTAAGTTTTAGGAAAGTAGCTGTTTATGTTGCTGCCTCTCAACCACATATCATTCCCTATACTGGCAGTTAGTTATCTTGTCAGCAGTTGTGACTGGCTTCACAGGCATAGAGGAAATGGAGTCAAGAGACTCACCAAGAGAGGAGTTACTGTAAGAGAGGGTGCATCAGAGATACGACCATGATGTTATGTTTGCCTGTTGGGGTTGCCTGTGGTTGCTTTACTTAGTTGAGTAGAGCATGATGCTAAAGGAGAAGCTCACCAGCTCTGCCTGAGTATTTTGCTGGGCCCTGTACATCTATCCCTGGCCTCACTAATGCCAAGACCAGGTAAGAGAGCATGACTGAATCAGTGTAAACTATCACTGCTGCTGGAAAAATAGCTTAAATCTAGTGCTTTGCTGGTAGTGGCTTGAGAATAGCTTCAAATCATCCCTCTATTCACCTCCACCTCCCCCCACCATCTCATGTCTATGTCCTGCTTATTTTACCTCTTAAGATTTCTTCAGTCCATTCTCTCCTTAACCCTTGCTCCAATTCAAGCCTTCTAATTCAAGCCTTCATCTGGATTACTGTACCAGTTCCCTAACTGTTCTTTCTTTTTCTGCTTATGTGCCCTTCCAATCCATTGTCCATAAATCTAAAACTACAATCTGATCATGTGCCCTTCGCCTCCATTGTCCATAAATCTGAAACAACAATCTGATTGTGTCACTCCCAGCCTTAAAACCCTTGAGTGACTTTCTTTGCCTATAGAATAAAGTTCAGGCTTCTTAACATGACATCCTAGATGCTCAGTGATCTGATCTCTGCCTGCATTTGCAGTCTATCACTTATTTCTCTCCTTTGTATTTTATGCTCTAGCAATGTGAAATGTTTCCAGTTACATACATATATACATCCCTTCTTTTTCTTACGTCCTACCCTTGCATATATTGTTTTCTACCTAGAGTGCCCTCTCCCTCTTATATACCTCTTCTCCTTTTCACCTGGTTAATTCCTACTCAGCTCCAGGAGCACTTCCTTCAGGAAGCTTCCTCTGGCATTCCTGTTAGGGTGAAGTACCCCTCTTCAATATTCCCTAAATTCTATGTAAATGTCTAACACCATGCTTATACGTTGTCTCTTAATTATAAATCTATGTCTCATTGTTAGACCCTGGGAACTCCCTGATGACAGATACTGTTATGTATCTTTATATCCTTGACATCTAGAGTACCTAGCACATAATAGGCAGTCAAAAATTATTTACTGAATGAGTGACATGGAGTATAAACTTTGGAGGTTGAAGATTTAACTCTGCTTTTATTTTGGATTTGAACAATGTAAACAAGACTAGAATACTTTTAAGACAGGGATTCTCAACCAGGAATGTGCTGTTTGGGGAGCTTTTTCAAGATAGGCCTGCTCAGGCCCAACTTCTTATCTACTGAGTCAGAATTTGGGGCGTGGAATCCAGACATGTGTATTTTTATAAATGGTCTTCAGGAAATAAGTACTCACACAATTGGTGGGAGTGCAAAATGACACAATCCCTATGGAACAGAAACTGGCAGTATCTACCAAAATTACAGATGCATTTTGCCCTTTGACCAAGCAGTGTCACTTTTAGAAACCTATCTTGTAGATAGATTGAACCCAAGTAAACAGTTATTCACTGAAGCACTGTACATAATAGCAAGAGATTGGAAACAAACATGTGTCCAGCAATTAAGGCGTTTTTGAAGAAACTATGGTACATCTACCTAATGGAATACTATGGTAAAGAGAGAGGGAGAGGGAGAAGGAGAGAGACTGTTATTTGCAAATGGGAGACAGTTAAATGGAAAAAAAGATGTGAAAAAGAAGATTATTTTTTACATACTCGTGATAAGTATTCAGACTAGCAGGGCAGCTGCTGTTTGTTTAGTTTAGTTGGGAGAATCCCTACCACGTCTGTAGATTCATGGTGCCTTGGGAATCTGACACTAGAAATTTTGCTAGTGCTTTTACTGGTCAAAATAAGTACATTCAGACAGAGATTCTCCCACTCCTTTTAAGTTTCAGCTGAGAGAGAAAAATTTCCCATACAGTTATTAATAAAGCATGTTTATTTCCTGTAGGATAGTAACAAAACCTAATATTTTTAAAGTAATCTTTTACTGCCTTTTAGATCTTTGGAGATAGTAACTTCAGCACTGGTGTTATTTTCAGTATAGTGTATAGATTTCTGCTCCCTGGGAGGTCTGATAGAAACAAATGTCATTAGGGACCTAGCTAGGTAATCTTCGTTAATGGGAAAACATTGGCAAACAAAAACATATCAGTCTCCAAGGCTTAACCATTAGTGACTTTTTTATGCCCAAGGCCCTAAAACTACTGAAATCAAAGCTATTGGACTGCTCTGAAGTATCTACATCCTAACAGCTTTTTAACTTCTCAATGTAGAGAGACATAGAATGTAGGCATGTCTCCACATTAAACCCAATCGGAAAATAAGAGGAACTCAGATTACTGTCCAATTTGTTTTGCTGCTCTAATTCTCTTTTTCCCTTTCCTAAACATGTCTCTGGAGCCTTCTCCCAGCAGCTTCTTGGTGACTGCAGTGCCCCTTTCAATAAACCACAGATGCTGTCTCTGAAAAAAACACCTTTCTTATCTAAAACTTTTGTGACAACTTAAAAAAAATAAAACTTGATGATACTGAGCTTTTTAGGAAATGGTTATAAATTAATGATCCTTAGACCTAATTCCTAACAATTACGCAGTGTTTTGCATTTTTACAAAGATTTGCTTTGCAACAGTAATGCAGTAATGTTGCGAATATGGTGAGAATATCACCATCCCTATTTTATGGATAAGAAACCTGAGGCTCACAGTAATGACAGCTTGCTGACCACTAGTAAGTGGTGGAGCCTCAGATAGAGAAGAGATTTTCTATTATGTGTGGCTCCTTCACTGCTCAGTGCTCCATAGCCCCTACTCATTACCACTTGAGGTATATTTCAGAAGATTTGCTATTATGACGCAGTATCATGTTTTACCTCTTATTTCATACCTTGAAAGACCATTTAGTCAACTAGACTTAAATCAGAAGATAGTGAAAGAAATTACCAACTAGGAGTGCTTAAATTTTTCCAGAGAAGTTTGAAGTCAGATACAACTGCTGTTTGTGCATATAATGCAAATACTTCCAAGTACATGTGGGTCATTGATATTTGGATATGAGCACCTGTGCTTTTTGAAACATTTGCTTTACATCCTCTACCTAAATTGGAGGACTGCGATTATCTACCACCACATAAACAAATATATCATGCAAATATGTAGGATGAGGGGAGATAGGATGACTAATCTGAAAATTTACATCTTGAGGAAATAAAAGCTCTTATATTGGCTTCTAAAACACATCTGATCTCAAGACCAATAAAGAGTACTAATTGCAATAAATGTTGAAAAGTACATATCATAAAATGAGTAAAAGAATTGGAGCTCTTTTGCCTGGAAGATAAGAATACAACCATATCAAATGTGGAAAACTTCAGTTGTTGTCTGAGATAAATCTTTGTGTATATAGTAATTTTCCTCAAAAGAGTGAAGTTAAAAATAGCCAAATTTCACGCATTTATTTCATTACCTTCAAACTCACATAGGTAAGCCCATATTTCTGTGAAGGCAGAAGGTAATTGCTGAGTCGAGAAGTTTTTGAGGACAAGAATTCTGGCTTACTTTTCTTTGTATTTTCAGCCCCCAGCACTGCATGTGGCACAAAATAGGCACCTACAATAAACATCTGTTAAATGAATGAAGGAAACTTGGAGATTGAGTAGAAGCCAGAATTTCTATGACTTGTACATGTTATTTAGTTTTGAGTTTGATATTCTCTTAACTATTCAGCAGAATCTCAACACATCATATATGTCGTTTACTGAAAAAACAGGATACAAAAGTATTTATACCATGTGATCACAACAATGTACAACTAATAAAAATTATAGAAATAAAAGTGACTACAAGGAAATTCACTAAATGATGGCTGTCTGAATATTATTACTGTGGATGATATTTTTCTTCCCCTTTTTGGTATTTTAAACTTTTATATTATAGTAGATTATGATGATATAAGAATATATATATGTTATAAATATATATGTTATAATGCATATTTATATATTTTATAAATATATATTTTTATAATATAAGTATAAAATATTTTTATAATATAAAAATATATTTTTATACACTTTTATAACAGTGTGATTGGAGGCATAAGAAAAACCAATACTTTTTTTTTTTTTTAAAGATTTTTTTATTTTTTCCTTTTTCTCCCCAAAGCCCCCCCGGTACATAGTTGTATATTCTTCGTTGTGGGTCCTTCTAGTTGTGGTATGTGGGACGCTGCCTCAGCGTGGTTTGATGAGCAGTGTCATGTCCGCGCCCAGGATTTGAACCAACGAAACACTGGGCCGCCTGCAGCGGAGCACGCGAACTTAACCACTCGGCCACGGGGCCAGCCCCGAAAAACCAGTGCTTTTTAAAAAAATCATTAATTTTCTCTAAAATTGAGCATTCTTGATTATCCTACATATTCCTTTTAGGGAAGCATAAAAAAATATTATTAGGTTTGGAGGTAGTATTACTTGTGGAGCC